GCGCTGCAAACTCAAAGGTGGGAAGCTAAAATTCACCAGTTTTTCTACAGGAGAAAGATGTGATTTGAAGCCTCTGAAAAATATGTTAGAGGTGCAGCTATGAGGATGTTCTGTCAAGTCGGTTCTGACTTGACAAAACGAGTTTGAGGGGTTTTAAAAATATCTTATTCTATAGTAACATTTAATGAGAAGGCCCTTGACTCATACTTTGAATTAATAAAACTGTATAAAAGAAGAAAGATCCAAAATATTCTTAGCTATAGCCATTAACTGGCAGGACTGAGAACTCTGTAACACTGGGCTAAAGCAGTAAGGCTGAAGGCCGAGGTGCCTGCAAGCAGATTTTGGAAGCTCTCCTGTTTGAGTGACTGTATTCTGGTACCAACCTGGATTATAAATTCTTGGCTTCCCCAACATGGTTCTGTGCAATTTGTGAGTGGGCACATCGGATTCTGGATCCAGTAAAGCATTAAGACTGGTACTAAACTTTGCCACTGCTACTGGAGTGAGATGATAACTCATTGTCCTTTTGATTTGCATCTCTCTTATTTTCAGTGATTTGGTGCATTTTATCGTTGGCCATTTGAATGTCTTCCTCTGTGAAAATTCTTTCCATGTCTTTTGCCCGTTTAGTAATTGGGTTATCATTCTTCTTCTTGTGGAGGAGTCCCAGGAGTATTCTGTTTACGTTTGTTATAAGACTCTTGTTTGAGATGGTATTGCCAAATGTTTGTTCCCAGTCAGTATGTTTTCATTTCACCCTATTAGACAAAGTTTTTGATACACACCGGAATTTAATCTTTAGAAGGTCCCATTCATCAATCCAGTAGCAGTGGTAAAGTTTAACAGGATAGTAAGTAATAAATGTTGGAGAGGATGTCGCGAGATACTAAGTCTTATACATTGCTGATGGGATTGTAAAATGGTATAACTACTCTGGAAGGCAGTTTGGCACTTCCTCAAAAAGCTGAACATAGAAATTCCATATGACTCAGCTATTCCACTGCTTGGAATATACCCTGAGAAAATGAGAACTGAGCTACAAAAAGGGAATTGTACACCAATATTCATAGTAGCATTATTCACCATCACAAGAATATGGAAACAGCCCAGCTGTCCAACCATAATCGAGTGGCTTGAGAAATTATGGTACATTCACACAATGGAAAACAACGCAGCACACAGGAGCAATGATTTTCTAAATTATTATCTAAGTTGGGAGGGACAGAAGAGCATTATCTTGAGGGAACTAACTCAGTCCATAAGGACAAATACTATATAAAACCATTATTGTAGAATGAGTATGAGGATTGAAGGAGGGGTGGGAGGGTGAAAACAGAGAAGTGAGGATTGAGGAGAGCTTAACCTAAAGGTCATAAAATTTGATGGGTGGAAGGGGTGAAGGAAATGGGAATGAATGATCAGGTGTGAAAAACAATGTATTCAAACTTTGTAAATAAATCTGTATAAAAGAAAAAAAAAGACTGGTACTAAGAGGAGTAGAAAGAGGCTTGGGAGCATGAAGGACATGTCTGACTGCATGAGAATTGCTTTTGTGTTGTTGATCCTGTTGAAAGACGGGGATAGTTCCCCTTTGTGAATTTGGTAAAGGACCATTCCCATCCAGCTCTTGCTCTTTTTACAGATATGAATACTATTTTCACAGATGAAATTAAAACTATTCACATTTTTGTCATGCAAACAAAAGGATATTTTTGTTCTACAGTCAGACTTCCTAAGAGTCCATTAAGAACTGTATTACTTTGCAAAAGTTATTTAGCTTCTCTAGGCTGTATTATCCCATTTGAACATTACTATTGTCTGGCACTATTGAATCAGAACTGATGCAAACCTGACTCTCCAGTGGATTTTCAGAGGTAATAAATAATATGGTAGGGGTCTGCCTATCTTTCTTCTGTGGAGAAGATGGTGGATTTGAACCATGTACTATTGCACTGGTAATTCAAATCCTTATCACTAAGCCACAAGAACGCCCTATGATTAAATAGATAAAAATAGTACTTATCTCAAATGTTGTTATAAAAGTAAATTTTATACAGGTAAAGGACTTAGAAATCATTTGTGGATTAAGGAAAGTTTCATCCAAGTCATAACATTTTCAATTGTCTCACATGCATATGAAAATGGAATAATGTATATGAAAAATGGAAGAATCGGTGCATTTGAAATATGCTATTGCCAAAGAATAATGAATACACCATACACTGCCAAAAGAACAAACAAGTTTGTCTTGGGATTAGGTAGATGCTCCTTAGAAGCAAGGATGGTGAGAGCTGTAATCTCTGGGATATTAAGAGATGATCTCCTCTGCTTAAAATACATAGTGGATGCCCTGTGGTTGGTGTCTATATGTGTGTAGGTTGGCAATCTTATCCTTTGAATTAATGAAGATGCTTATACTGAAAAGTCTATTAAAGTCTACACTCTCAGAGGTCTTTCCTTTATTTCTTTAAGAATGTACAATACTCACTATATTTCCTTAATTTAAACTTACTTTACTTATACTTTATTTCTTTCTATACCTTATCTTTCTAGCTTAACTTGCCTGCTCTGTGTGTTTCTTATTCTGAGGCCATGGACTATCCAGGACAGATTCATCTTACACGAGATGACATAGCATATGATGCCAAGTTAATCTAGATGAAAAAATGAAAAGTTTCTGCTCACATTACATTTTTTAACATTACATGTGTTAAACTTAACATCAATGGGATAGAAAAGTTTTCTTCTTTCATGGTAGTGAAGCAGGTAGAATATTTATAGGAAAATATCAGTAATACTCTAAAAAGAAATATTAGGAGCAATGTACTAAGTTTTGTAAAATGTTAAATGTATTTTAGGGACTTCCTTTAAAGTTAAACCCTTAGTTCTTTTTAGATTAACAATATCCTTCCCTTAATAATAATATCATGTTAATGGCAGAGTGAGATACACTTTAAATATGGTTGTTATTAGGCATAATACACATTTGGGAACCCTATGTATCAGGACTGGAGGAATGTTCATCAATAACTTTCATTATGCATATGACACAACCTTACTTGCTGAAAGTGAGGACTTGAAGGGTTTGCTGCCAATCAAACACAGCAGTCTTCAACGCAGACTGCATCTCAACATTAAGAAAATTAAAATTCTCACCCCTCAATACACAGGCAAAATCATGACATATGGAAAAAAGACTGACACTGTTAACGACTTCACCTTACTTGAATCCACAATCAGTACACTTAATACCAGCAGTCAGGAGAGTAGGAGATATATTGCACTCGAGTGTCTGCAGTCAAAGTCCTTTCCAAATTATGGAGGAGGAATGACATTAGTTAGAGGACTAAGGTGCACCTGATTCAGACCACGGTCTTTTCAATCACTTGTTATGCATCTGAGAGCTGGACAATGAAAAAGGATGATAGAAGAATTTATGCTTTTGAACTATGGTGTTGGAGAAGAGTACTGAATATCCCTTAGACCAGCAAAAGAATAAACAGCTATGCCTGGCAGAAGGTATAATCAGAGTATTCCTTGGAAACAATGATGATAATGCTTCATTTCATATATTTAGAGCAGGTTGCTAGAAGCTATTCTTTAGAAAGGGAAATCATGCTTGAGAAGGTGGAAGGACACAAAAGAGAAGACCTACAATGAGGTAGTTTGAAACAGTGACTGCAGCAATGGGCTCAAGCATGTCAGAGATTGCTAGGATGGCACAGGATTCATATCTACTGTTCACACGGGCACTATAGGTTATACTTGACTTGATGACACTTAACAACAACATCATCTAATTTTTATCTTAAAAAAATGTCCAATTGCATTTCAGGTTTCTTCATTTATACTTCATTTTGCAACACTCAGAGTCCTTTAGAAATAGAGAATTCTTAATACACATATTATTTTAAAGTCTGTAAATCTTCCATATCTTCTATGTTCTTGACATGAAAATGTTAAATAAGGAATATTGGTCATTACTTTGTAACTTTAGAAGGATGAGTCATATTCAGTTTAAAATGAAAATTTGGAGCCAGCAGCTTTATTTACATTGTGAAAGCACAGTATTTAATGGCTTTCTACATGCACAAGTGCTAGTAAGTATTGATAATTTTGACATTGCTTTATTAATCATTACAATAACAGAATACTATTTTGCTTATGGTCACAGTATTGTTAAACAAAATAACACTCCTGATGACTTATTTTCTCACTTTATTTCTATCTCCTCAGTTTATTTCCACTCCTATGCCTGCTCTTCATTATTCTTGTGCTATTCTCCAGCTTTACCTATTATTAAAATATTAGAGCTCCAAATCAGGGAGTGGGTGAAATAACAGGAATACTGAAATGTATCGCATTTATTGAAATCCTTACACAATGACTTTTAAATTTGTCAAAATAGATTTGCCGAATTATTTTCTAATCTCAATTAGAAAATGAAACTGCCAGTTCATTATCTATATTCATCAACAATATCATATAGCATGCATGAAGGACATTGACAACGTGGCACACATTCCACATCATCCTACTGACTTTGTCCAATATTAGAGAATTTGATTTTTATATATTTAAATTTCATAAACATGCAAATCTATAAATAGGCACACATGAATTAGCAAGAGAAGCTTCCATTAATGGTGATGGGCACGCAATCACTGGTTTTGAAACTCACTGTTTCTGCTAAACCTCCAATTTAAATGAAGTATGCTTCTTTTACAACAGTATATGGTGTTTATGTAAGGGCACTGGTAGTGCAGTGGGGTTAAGTGTTGAGTTGCTAACCACAACAGCAATTTGAATCCACCTACTGCCTCATGGTAGTCTATTCCCACTAAGTTTTACAGTCTTGGGAACCTGATGAAGGTTCACCATGTGCTGGAAAGGACTCGACAGCAGTGGGTTTTCATACAAGTTGCACTTCCTTTCCTTTTTAAAATGTAAGTCCTGTTACAATAAAATGGAAATGGAACAACTTGGTTGCAACATACCTGCAGGTATGATCATCACTCACGCTTGCAATTTCTTGACCTTCTTTGGGAGCAAACACTACACCATTAATGAAATCTGAATGGCCTTCAAAAACCTGGCACAAGAGAAAATATCAATTAAAAAGACAGGAAAACAATCTATAACATTCCTACCTAGTATTTTCACTTCACTGTCTGAAAAGCTTTCACTGCATAGTTCTCTTTTTTCTATAAATATTTCTTAAGTACTCTGCTATTTTTAACATATGATTTATACACCCACTTTTCTGGAAGGTTTATCTTGGAAAGAAGTTGATCACTCAACACACACTGCTATTAGCTTGATCTTTCTTTTCTAGTATGCATTTCTTACAAAACCACTTTTTTTTTAAAAAAAAAAACACCTGTACCTGTCCTCACATCACCTTCTTTTCACTTCTTACTCTGATTTTTAACGTCTCACTCCTACACTGGTAACTAGCTGATAAACACAGTGTGGATTTCTATAGCTTTTACCCACTTGTTCAGTGTGATTGCAAGTACTGCTATAATCTACTATAAGCCTGTAGTCATAATCAATCCAGTAATCTTTCGGCCATAAAGGGAACAAATGGAATGCTGCAAGACTGAAGAATATATGAACAAATCAATTTCAATTGTTCTACATTTTTATAATTGAAATACTAAATAAACATCAGATATTTCAGTATTTTAATGGATCTCTTTCTTCTTCCTTTACTGTCCTCTTTCTCCGTTGTGACTTCTTTCCTCCTATATAAGACCAATTCAAATTTGATCTTAATTCAGAGATTAATAAAATGGCTCTACATGACACTGATTATTAAGAAAAAATGATCAGATTTAAACACTCCTGCAAGCTTTAACAAATCCTGGCCCTTCAAGTTAATCTCCCAAATTTCTACAACAGTCTATAAAGTAAACAAAATTAACATTAAAGGTTTAAAGCCCATTATAAATAGGATATTAACTTGTGATGGGTAAAAATTTTATATGCCATATGCCACTTGGCATATACGTATACTTTACGTTAACCAATACGTGCATTATAGTAAGTTCATTGAATAACTTAGGGCACAATTTTTACCATTTTTTTTAGTGAGTGACAAGGTTTCTTGTGCATCTTTGTTTTATAGAATTATCTGTTTTTCATTTATTAGAAAGAAGGCAATATTCATAAGAAAACATGATGTAACTTCAATCTCAAATGATATTTATTATAAGAAAACAATGCATATAATAAGTACATGTGATTTACTATGTACCAAGTTTTCTTCTAAGTCCTTTACATGAATTAACTCAGTCCATGCTCATAATTCTATGAGACTGATGTTATGACTGACACCATTTAAAGATTTACAAAAGAGCTCAAAGAGACAGTCACTTGTGCAAATACATGCAGCTACATTACAACTGAACTGGGTTTCAAACTCAAGCAGTTTGGCTCTGTGTCTGTGTGCTTAATAACTTTGAAATCGTGTGTCCTGCTTTGCTTATGAGACTCCAACTCATAGCAACCCTATGTACAACAGTTTGGAACTCAACTCTATCTTAGGGCAATTTCATTGTTTCTGACATATTTACCTCTATTATCCAGTCAATGAGTCAACCTATCTCATTCAGGGCCTTCCTCTCTTGTCCTGTCCCTCCAACCTTGTCAACATGATGTTCTTCTCCAAGAACTGGTCTATTCTGGCAACATATCCAAAGTATGTCAGATGGAGCCTCAAAACCCTTGCCTAGAAGGAGCAATCTGGTTTCACCCTCTCTAGGATGAACCTATTTGTTCTCTTAGCAGTCTATGGTGTAGTCAATACTCTTCTCTAGCACCACAATTCAAAGGTGTTGATTCTTCTATCAGCCTTGTTCATTGTCCAGCTCTCTGATGCATAGCAGGTTAAGAGTGAAGACCATGGCCTGGATTAAACACACCTTAGTCTCTAGACTGACATCACTGCTCTTCAAAACTCTAGAGAGGTCCCTGACAGCAGATTTTTCCAATGCAACCTGTCTTTTAATTTCCTGGCTGCTGGTAGCAAGAGTGTTGACTGAGGAGCCAAGCAAGCTGAAGCTGTTAACAATCTCAATCTCTTCCCTGTCTATCATGGTGCTGCTGTCAATTGCCCCAGTGGTGATAACCTTTGTTTTCTTGTTGTTGAGCTTCAATTCTTACTTAGGGCTGTAATCCTTGAACTGCAGCAAATACTTTAGGTTCTCTTCAGTTTCAGCAAGCAAGGTTGTATCATCTGCATAATATAGGCTGTTGAAGAGTATTCCTCTGATCTTGATACCACATTCTTCTTCAGAGTCCAGTTTGTTTAATTTGCTCAGCATACAGATTTAATAGGTATGGAGAAAGGATACAACCTAGACACACCTTTTTAGGAATGGAGTGAAGCTTAATATTAGGCCATCAAAGCTCCCTGACTTACATTTTAAGAATTTTAAACTATGTTAATGCTTTCTTCCCCAAGGAAGACCCTCGATGAGATGGATCGATTCTGTGACTAGGGTGGTGGGAATGAGTGCGTTTGAGATGGTGAGGTTGGCACAGTATAGAACGACGTTTAGGGCTCTTGCACATAAGGTCACTATGAGCGGCAAGTGACTTGATGGCACATAACAAAAACAACAACAACAACAACAACAACAACAACAACAACAACGCTCCTTTGTTCTGTTCACACAATTACCTCTCTGCCTAAATAAAGGCTTTACATAAGTACAATTAAGTGTTCGGGGATTCCCATTCTTCTCAATGTTAGCCATTACTTATTATGATCCACACAGTCAAATGCCCTTGTAGTCAATAAAGCATAAATAGATATTCTTCTGGTATTCTATGCTTTCAGTCAGGATCCATTTGACATCAGCAATGATATCCCTGGGACCAAGACCTCTTCTAAATCCAGCTTGAACTTTCAGCAGGGTTCTATGTACTGTACTAGCCATTTAAAGAAAAAGAAAATTTTTTTGTACTAGCCATTTTTGAATGATCTTCAGAACTATTTTGCTTGAATGGGATATTAATGATATTATTTGATAATTTCCAAATTTCCTTGGATTACCTTTCATGGGAATGGGAATAAATAGGGATCTCTTCTAGTCAGTCAACCAGGCAGCTGTCCTCCAAATGTTCTGGCATAGACTGACTAGTGGGCACATCCAGGACTATGCAGTTATGTGAAATATGTGAACTGGTATTACATAGATTCTTGGAGCTTTATTATCCCCCCCTCCCCCCCAATCTCTTCAGTGTAGCTAGCTTGAACAACTTCCTTCACCACAATTGGCTCTGGGTCATACGGTTTTTCTCAACAGATTACAGTTTGAAATACCAATTCTATTTGATACTGTGATTCTGTCCATATTCTTTTACATTTCCTAGATTATTTAAGATTTTGCCAATAGCATCTATAAGTGCTGCAACTCAAGGCTTATATTTATTTTTTAGTTCTTTCTGCTTGGGAAATGCGAACCTAGTGCTTCTCTTTTTATCCCTCAATTCCAGCTGTCTGCACATTCTAAGATTTTGCTTTGTCTTCTTGAGCTGCCCTTTAAAATCTTTTGCTTAGCTCTTTTACTTTGGCATCTCTTCCTTTTGTTTTGGGGTTTTGATGCTCTAGTGCAATTTTCAGAGTTCCTTCTGACATTATTTTTGGTTTTCATTTTCTCCTTTATCTTTGTAATGACCTTTTGGTCCCTTTGTGGATGATATTCTTCATGTCATCCCACATTTCATCTTGTCTTTCATTACTAATGTTTAGTGCTTCCAACCTATTCTTATGATGATTTTTTAAATTCAGGTAGTACAGAACAAAGATCATACTGTGTTTCTGATGGACTTGTTTTAATTTTCTTCAGCTTCAAAATGAACCTACACATGAGCATTTAATAGTCTGTTCCACAGTCAGAAACAGGCCTGCTTTGGACTGCTGATAATTGAGCTTCTCTAACGATTCCCTCCCTAGATGCAGTTAATCTAATTCCTATGTAGTTTATCAGGTGAAGTTCATGTGCAGACTCACTGTTTGTGTTTTTTTAAAAAAGGTATTTGCTAAGAATAAATCAGTAAACCTACAAAATTCCATCATTCAATCTCAGGCCTCATTTCTGTCACCACTTCTGTACTTTCTAAGTACCATTCCTTCTTTATTGTTTCCAACTTTTGCATTCCAGTCACTGAATTATCATTAAACATCTTGATTGCACATGTGATTAATTTTGTAATTCAAAATTTGGTAAAAATCTTCAATTTCCTCATGTTTGGCTTTAACATTTGGTGAAAATATTTGAATAACAGTCATATTAACAAGTATTCTTTGTATGCATATGGATAACATCGTATCACTCACAACGTTGTACTTAGGATAAAATTTGAAACTGTCCTTTTAACGATAAACACACTGTTTTTCTTTCATTCCCAGCATAGGATACCACGTCATTGTCTGATTCAAAGTGGCAAATGCCCATCCATCTCTTCTCACTAATGCCTAAAATGTGGGTTTTCATAGAATGTATTCCATTTCATTTTTCACAACTTCTAGTTTTCCAACATTCATACTTTGTGTACTCCATGTTAGTCTAGGAGTATTATTTGTGACAATGACCTCTGAATCTAGCCCGAATTTCTGGCAATCTCCTGTCAACGTCAGCCCTTAAGAAAATAATATTTAGCAAAATTTTGCTTGTATACAATTATCAACAATATTGTCTTGATAGTGTCTGCCCTCTGTTAGATCATCTTTTTTTTTTTAAATCTGAATCGGAACAAACACAGATCCCTTTCAGGGTGCTGGCCAATATCTTCCAAATTCCTTGGCATAAGACTACTGAGGGCATCTTCATCTGCATCTGTTTGCTGAAATATTTCAATTGGTATTCCATGAATTTCTGGGGACAGATATTTTGACAATTTTTTTGTTATACAGAAATTAATCATTTATTCACATGAAACTCAACTCTTATTCTACGTGTGTTCATGGCTACTGCTCTATTAAAACCCAATTGTGAATTTCTTTTTGTCTCTTATTTCTAATGCCTGACTAATGTAATACATGTTGTAAAACTTATCATCTCTACTCATTGTTAAAATTAGTTTCTATTGACTAAATAAAATGAGATCCTATCTCATATACCCTAAAGATTACCATGAAAGCACATTTTTAATTGGGATAAATTAATTTAGAAAGGACCAAACCCAAACAAATTAAATGTATGTACGGGCTTTAAGTAACATTTAAAGATATACAAATTTTATTTGTCAACATACTTTGTATTCATTCTTATCTCGAAGATCTGAAGTAAATAATCTGATTCTGAAGTCAGCAGCCGAAGTACAAAATCTGAAAGCATAAAATTAAAATCAAAACAAACTAAAAGAACTATATTCTATCTTAATAAATGAATGCATCCCCCAACTGATAAAAAATTTATCAAATTTATAATTACATTCAGTTTTTTTCTGACTATGCTATGGATTTGCAGTAAAAAAAAAGTTAGTCATTAATAAAAGTAGGAAGCATCTAAAATATTCTGAATTTGTTGTTTTAAGTAATGAAATTTAGAATTTTTACTAATCAGCAAACAAATTCAAATTTTAAAACTTTCTTTAAAGAATGAAATAGAAAAATATCTTTATCTTAGCCATGACAAGAAGAAACACTAAGAATTACATTATGTATCTAGTTCAGACTTTATGCTCTTCTGTTCTGTTGTTAAGTGCTGTAAAGTCGTAACTACCTTACAGCGTTTTTTCTGAAGGTGTAAATCACATGGAAGGAGACGGCTCATCTTTATACTGTGGAGCAGCTGGTGGATTCAAACCATTAAGCTTCTGGGGTGGCAGTACAACCTCTCACCACCAGGTGACCAGATCCTTCTTCAGTTACCTATAAATATTCTTTTTCTACTTTTCCAAATAAATTCAATTAGCAAAAAGTATTTTTTCTTTTCATAAGCATAAAATCTGCTATACTTAACCTGGTGTACTTATATTGATTACAAAAGGAGCTCTGGCAGCCCAGCTGGTAGGGAGTTGCAGTAATGACCTAAAGGTGGGCGGTCTGAGTCCACCAGCTGCTCCTCAGGAGAAAGACAATCTTCTCCCGTGTGATTTACAGTCTCTGAAAAACCTGCTGGAAGGTCAGCTACGAGTTGGCTCATACTTGACAGAAATGAGAATGAGAGTATTACTTATTAAAAGCTACTGTATTACTTATAAACATACAAATATTTTTGTCCATCCATGAATGGTGCATTAAAAATAAAATCTAAGCATCAAAGAAATATTTACTAAAGAGTTATCTTAAAACTCTAAAATTTCTAGATTCACAGTTTATCAGAAAAGGGAAAAAAAATCCCATGTTGAAAACTAGTTTATATCTACTTCTTCTTTGATAAGAAACACATCCCAGCAATCTGAATTTCTCCTTTGGTTCTGACTACATTAAAATGAACCACTTATTTCCTAAATTAGTAACTGTAAGGATAGCTTAAGTAAGACTACTGAGCTATAAAGTAGAATATACAGGTAATCTCAGCTACTTTTCCAGTGATTCATCAGAAGCCATGGAAAAACAGATCAAACGAAGCAGGGAGATCCTTTTTTTGTCCATAATTTTCTCAGAAATAAAATTAAAAATTATAGCAGAATAAAGAAAATTTTACAAAGATGAAACAAATTTTAATGAAAGTGTTTTTTTCTTAATGAGATTCCTGTAGGAAAGGGTGGTGTTGTTAAGTGCCGCCAAGTCATAGACGACTCATAGTGACCCTATGAATGAAAGACCTGAACACTTGAGTATAACTTTTATCATTTCTCCAAGTTCATAGCATTTCCCGAGGCAAGCTATTTCGGAAGTGGATGCCACTCCTGCTCCCAAGCTTGTTTTAATTGGGGAGCTCCACCAAACATTGCCCATTATGGGTAACCATTATTGCATTTGACACATCAGTGTCACAGAGTTTAGCATCACAGCAACCATGAGTTACCTTTATAAAGCAAATGCACAGACCAGTGCTATACCACTTAGAAGAATGTTTCACCAAAACCAATTAAAACCAGGCCTGAAGGCCACAGATTAAAATCACCCACCTTTGACTTAGTGGCATAACTTTATACTTCTCACATTTCTATCTTTCTATACATTCTTTATTACTACATAGTTTATTTTGAATTTCTGTGTGTTAATACAGTAAGATAGAATCTCATGCCTTCTGTATTAAGTTGAGTGGTGTCCCCCAAAAATACAGGTCCAAGGCCTAATCTCCTGGTAACTGGGAATATGATCTTATTTGGAAACAGGGTCTCCTATTTCTGGTGGCTTAGTAATAAGAAGTTGTACTGCCAACCCAAACGCATGTACTTCATATCTACTAGCTGCTCTAGAGAAAGACAATCTCCTCCTGTGAGATTTACTGCCTCTGAAAACCCTCAGGAGGGTCAGCAGACAGGCAGTTTCAACTTGATGGTACATATGAACATGTGTTTTTAGTAACAGAGTTCATTCTGAAACCAAAGGCAAACTTTTTTTTTTTAAAGGTAATGGGCATTCTGATATTAGAAGGGACATAAACATCTGAAGTGGACTCTGGTAGTAGAATTAGTGGAATGAAGCTTGTTTCCTCAGATTTGCACAGTTAGGTGGGTCCCCACCAGGTGATGGCACCTACTATACCTGGAATAACAGCTTTCCAAGAAATGTGAGTGGTGGAAAATATTGTTGACAATGTCTGTCCCATGCTTCATGAAAGGGTTAAACATTTTAATAGAATCAAATACCAATTATCTGCTGAAAATGTCATATTTTAACAATTAGCTTTTCATTTGATTAACCAGAACAACCTAGTCTTGTCTCTACATGTAACTGTTTTAGTTCTGAGTTGCCTCTTTTATTAAGTGAAGGGACCAAGTTGGATTTACTTCTAATGTTCTTTTCATTTATAATGAAAAGGTGCTGTCAGTATTGTTTTAAAATGCAACTATATATTCTTCACTTTTACCTAATCTTGTTGCTACTGCTGTTATGTGCTGTGGAACTGACTTTTGCCTCCTGGCAAGCCCATGAGATGATGCAGAACTGTTTCGCAGGGGTTTCTAGGCAGTAACCATTATAGGAACAGATTATCAGGTCTTTCTATCATGAGCCTGGTGGGTAGATTTAGACAGTCAATTTTTCAGTTAGAGTTGAGCAATTAATAATTTTATCACTAGGGATCCTTACATTTACTCTAAAGTTGTTGTTAGGTGTCATCAATTTGACTCCAACTCCTAATGGCCTTATAAACGACAGATCTGAACCCTGTCCTGTCCTGCACCATTCCTGTGACTGCTGTCATGCTCAAGCCCATTGTGGCAGTCACTGTGTCAATCCATCTTGTTGAGGGTCTCCCTCTGCTTTGGCGACCCTCTACCTTCCCTGCATGTTACCTCTTCAAGAACTGGTTACTCCTGAAAATATGCCCAAAGTTAAGTGAGACAAAGTTTTGCCATCCTTGTCTCTAAGGAGCACTCCAGTTGCACTTCCTTCATGATATTCGTTATTTTGGCAGAAATTGTGTACTCAAAACTCCTTGCCAACTCTAGTCAATATCTATACTCATTTAACAATGAATTAGAAAAATTAGCGCTTTCACGTAAGACATTTCAAGCAGGAGAAACAAATGAGAGGACCAAAACTCAACCAGGTCTATTTTATAATTTAAATGCTGGCAACAGTTAAATCTGGGTGCCAACAAATAACAAATGGGTTTTTTTCCCCAAATAAAATCTCTCCTTTTTGCTCTCCTTGATATATAAATGCTGCCACCGGCTGCCTACAGTTTTCCCAACTCAGTTCAAGCCCTCCAATTTAGGCTTGTCAAATTTCATCCGGATCAATTTCTTCAGCTCATGTCCCTAACCACTCTTCACATTTGTCTTGCAGATGTTGTTGGTATGTACTGTTCCATCTTACAGAAGACCCTCCAGCAGGTTTTCAGAGGTAGTAAATTGCATAGGGGGAGAATGTCCACTTATTTCTAACAAGGCAGCTGGTGGTTTTGAACCAAGCACATTGTTGTTTGTTATGTGCCGTCGAGTC